GCAATGAAATATGGCTGGAGGAGATACATGTCATTTCTGGGTCAAAGTTTTTAAGACATGAGTATGTCCCCTCCCTTCTGCCAGATGGAGGAGGCCCCGGGACATAGCATGGCTGCAAAACGGCTCTTTGAGTCCTTGCATCAGGACTAAGTACACCCACCTTGGACTATTGTGGAAGTGACCATTAAACTTCACTGTAGTTAAGCCACTCCACACATTCGAGTTTATTTGTGACCATAGCCTGACCAGCCTGAACAAACGCACCACACTTTAGCTAGGGTGCTTCAGGAAAGGCCTGTCCAAGGAGGTGGTGTTGGATGTGAATAAATAATGAGAAGGAAACAGCCAAGCCAAGGGCAGGAACACTCCTGAAAGAGGGAACAACAAGGGGAAAGGCACTGAGCTGAGAAAGAGCATACAGAGCATGGCTGATGAATAAAAAGAGAAGCCGTTAGGGCTGCAGTGTAGTGAATAGGGAAAGAATGGAATAAGATGAATTGAAGTGAACAGGAGTCAAATCATTCTTAGCCCTCATCTCCTCCTGGAAGCCACCATCTCATTCACCATGACCACTACCAGCTCAGTTGAGTGATCGTTTCTAGAGCTCCCCCAGTAACCAAGGGTCTGCCTCTTTCACCACCTTTTATCCCCCTTTATGATTATCTGTTTAGGTGTTGGTTACCCTCTAGACAATGAGCTTTTCCAAAAAAACTAATTCATTCATGTTTTTTTTATCTCCAGCATACGTGCCAACATGTATAGGTGGTCAATAAATGGTTCTGGTATAAATGGGTTGAACAAATGGCAGCCATATAGCTCTCCCCACGACATTTACGGGGACACATGTGATGACAGTCGCATTAGGGAGCGAAGGAAGATTCTGAGAGACAACTCATCTCCATACACACTGCTAGTTTTACCAGTGTGATTTGACCTCCTTTCTCGAAGTCCTTCCCTCCTCCCACCCACCCCTCCTTCAGATTCTTTCTAAGGATGACCCATTTCTAACTAAGATTTCTTCGAGATAACAGGTTGTTGGGAGCCTTCATTAAAGAGGAAGGTTTCCCCTTCAATGAAAATGACTGGAAACAGCAAAAAGACAGTTTGAAACTGAAGGCCCCCTGCCAATACAATGACCCAGTTAGGAACCAAAACAAAGAACAGATAAATCGAGGGAATAAAAGTCTCCCCATTGCACCCTTCCATCTTCCACTCACTGCAGCAGTTGCTATGAAGTTTTAAACTTGAGGAGCTAATTTAATTCCCCAGAATTGGAAAATGCCATCCCCTACCTTAAAAGTTCTTCCCAGAGAAGTGGAGATGTAATTTTACTCACTCTAATGATGTGAGGAGGTCAGTTTTTATTCTCATTGCTCAGAGGGCACGCTTCCCTCCATTATTTCATATTCTTTCCCCCTCTCCTCCCCTTCTCCCTCATTCACCTCAAAAAACTCATTTTCACCTGTGGCTCTCAAAACAGCTCAGCAAAAACTCTCCACTTATTAATATTGAGGTGGGTTGAGTGTTTGAGGAGGTAACAGAGGGCTAGTATGGTGGGGAAAAGGAAATTACATTCTTTCGGGAAGTGGTGTTTATATAGGTCTGCTGAATTATCCCCTAATGACAAAGAAGAATGAACAAATACATCTCAGGGTCTGAGACCAGAACTTGAAGCCTGAAACATTTGTAAGTTTCTTGTTTTATCTGTAAAATTGCTACAAGATTTTTTATCACACATGTGCACACGTGCGCGCGTGCGCGCGCACACACACACACATAGTATGTTTGTATTAAAATTAAAATATTCTGTCAATCAAATCTTTGAGTAAAACTGGCAAAGCAAACACCATGAAGTTTATCCCATGCCTTTGGATGCTAATATCTCTTACGGCCATCTCCTACGGCTAATATCTCGTACCCCTTGATTATTCCCCTATTTTAGAGGCTTGTGCCCAGGACATTCATCCTTGCAAATTCCGGTAAAGCATGTATGGGAGTCAAGGCTACCTGTAAGTTTTGATGAGACAGTGGAAGAACATATTCTCAAGCACCTGTATGTTAATGAAATGTCAGTTGAGCATTTTTAGAAATCTGTTAGGGAAGATGTCAGAGGTAGCAGAGAACAGAATTTACCCCGATGCCACTGTTTACAGCCACTGACGGCTAAGCATGGATTTGAGGGAGTGTTATTGCATATTTCCTTACGATCCACGGGTAGGTAGTTAAGACATGTGCACAGAGCACTGAAAGGTTGGCAGAGGTTGTTCAAGATGGCTTCTAGCTCCCTGGGCTTTGGCTTATTGTGAGCCTCATTCATTTCCTCTATTCTACTGCCTTATTCATTTTCTCCTGCTTGTCCTCAGGACTCCAGAATGAGACATGACTGGTTATTCTTCCCTCATCTGAAATTCCTAGGTGTGATAGACCACAGGATAATTGTAGCTTCAGATATATATATATTTTTTTCCAACTAAAATGTGCTTTCTGTTGCTCTAGCAAATTGTCATTTTCATTGCAAAAAAATGTCATTCAATAAATATTTTTCTTGTCTTGTCAATGTATTAATGAAACAAAAGCCTTATGGTGTAGCAGGACTCTACACTATAGAAAAATATTTTATAATTTTCATATTTCTTTTGATTTTTCTTCCAGTATGTTTACCCAAAGACCTGCCAACCTGTTGACACTCAGCCTTGAGTTCAGTGACTTTTCTTTTCTAGGAAACAGCAGAGAGAGCGTCCTCTATGTCCCATATGGTGACAGGCGCTCAAGATAATGCTCTTGGCCAAGAAACACAGAGCTTTGTTATTAAATAACAGCAAAGTTGCTTTTTTATTTCTCAGTAGGGTCACATTAATTTTATCCTGAGCACTAGCACTCAACAGCTCTCAACCTTGTTTTCACTTTATATATGAAAAGACTGAAGTTCCTGCGGATTGTAGACTTCTAGCAATCTAAAGAATACAATTATTGGTCCAATATCATATCCATTAGAAAGGTTTCTAAAATGGGGGTGCCTGACTGGCTCAGTCAGTAGAACATGTGACTCTTGATCTCAGCGTCATGAGTTCAAGCCTCGTGTTGGGCATGGAGCCTACATTAAAAAGAAAAAGAAAGGTTTCCAAAATGCCTGACAGAACCCTGATGTTTTAAAACCTCTTGCCTTGAAATTTCTTAACAATAGTGGCCATTTCTGATCCATCGTCGTGTCTTCATAGCAGAAGGTGGAGAGTCTAACCATGCTGCAGTGTGGTATATTTTTGATGAACACAAGAATAAAAATCAGCCCATGAAATGGTTAGCTTTGTCATATCATCACAGAACTATGGAGACATCTCAGAATAACACTCTGAGGAAATGGTGAGAAAAAGTTACCACTATATATGTAACTTCCAAGGCTGAAGATGTTCCTCAAACCATTCTTTTAATAACCTATTGAATTTGGTCTTCAGTGAATCCAGCTAAATCTTTTAAAATCATAGTTTATCCTGTATTTCCTCTTGAATGAAACTGTTACCATATTTGTAGCATTCCTTATTCAAATGTAACCTAAGCCAAGGTCATCATCCACTGTTCAAGTGGTGTGAGTTTGTACCTCTCTTAGGAACAAAGGCTGCCCTTGGGAGTGATCTATATGCACATTCATATCGCCTTTGGCAGCAAGCCACTATAAAGAGGACTTGGAAGGAGTTACTCAACACATTAGGATCAGAAAAAAAGAAAAAAGAGAAGACGCAGAAGGAATGGAACACCCTGAGATGTTACTGCCCAGATTGGCTTTCCACCTGCAGGTCTCAGGATGTTTTAATGGCTCCTTCAGAAGACCCCTCTATTCCTTAAAAGAGTCAGGTAGCAACAGAATAGCTACCAAAGTAGCCATTGGGGATCTTGCTGCTAACTCTCTTTCCTGACCCCCCAGGGGTGGTCAGTAATTTCTGGTTGACCGGCTAATGAGGGATTTTGGGAAGGAGAAGCGAGGCAGCATTTTGTGACCACTTTCTTTGCCAGGCACTTTACTAGTTATTTTGCATGTGCTATCAAGGTACTACTCACAACACTACAGGGTATTATTCCCAACTTACAGGGTAGAAACTGAGGCTCAAAGGGGTGAAATGACCTGCTCGAGTTCACATGATGTGCAAATGATAGACCTGGAACTCAAGCTCTAGTCTTTTGAACTCTAAGGTTTGTGTTCTTTCTATCATAGTTGGTGTCGTGTGCAGGCAACCCTTGGGGGTGGTCAACAGCAGCAAGAACTGTGAGGATCTTAAGAAAGAAAGGCACTTCATCTGGAAGCTACCCTGTGGTGTCCCCGCGATCCAAGCCATCGCAAATAGGAGATGCTGTGGAGAGTACTCCATCTTGGATATTGTTGTGGGCAGAGATGTGGGATCTTCATAGACCCTTGGATCCCCACAGGGAACTGCCAGGGACATTCTCAGAGACCTCCCACCACTCTGTATCTTTTAAGGATCATGGGGTAGGCAATTGGTGACCACAGTCTACTTATTCTCTATCTTAGGCAGAGAAGGTGCAACGAGGCGAAGAATTTCTCTCCAGAAAACCCATACTCCCAAATCCAAAACACCCTGATTTTAAGCTGGAGCAAATTACAAAGCTGTCCACAGTGTCCTAGCCCTCAGATGCTCAGTTACAGAGGAAAGTTAAACTTCGTTTCTGTTTATCTGTCCTAAGTTTTCCTATTTTGAGCTTCAAGAATTGTTTTTAGGGGGAAAAAATGAGTAATTAGTCTGCGTTTACTTTCCTCATGTAAATCTTATTTCTCCCTGACTTCATCTGTTCAGACCAAAACAGTCCTGATTTGTCTTAGTCTTAGTCTGCTTCAGACAGAAACATCAAGAACATCCTCTAGCTCAGTCCCCATTCTGTTAACCATCAGTCAGGTTAGTTGCTCTGGACAGAATGGAACCACCACAGACTCCAAGCTCCATGGCCATGGGAACCATGTGTCAATGTTCTATTCCTGGTGCCTGAGAAAATGCCTGAAACATGAGTGCTTTTACCAGTACTCTTGAATTTGACGCATTTTTATAAAGAAATTGTGGAGCCGGAGGAAATCTACAGAGGATGTAACTCAAACGCCTCATTCTACAGCAGAGAAGCAGAAGAACCAGATGGCCTGTCACATACAGGTAGTTAGTGGCAGAGCCGGGGCTAGAAGCCACGTCTGGTCCATCGCTCTGTGCCACATAGCCTCAGAATTGAAGCAGGCTCAGTATTTTTAAATTGATTCTTTTTCAATAACCTGTTTCTGCTTTTAGAATCCTATAGGATCCAGCGTGATTTGTAAACTAGCTTGCAAATGAGAAAATAGCCCCCACTTGAAGCACTATGTTAGATAAAATGCTTTTGGCTGCAAGCGACAGAAAATCCAAGTTAATTGGCTTAATAAAGAATTTTATTGGCTCACTTGATTGAAAGTCTAGAGGTCAGCCAGGTCTTACATAAGGACCTGTTGCAGAGCCTAGCCTGTCTTCTGGTGTTCCCACGGCTCTGACCCTCTCCCTGCTCCTTCTGCTCAAGCAGGCTGTGAAATGGTTGTAATAGTATCCATTCTCATCTTACAAGACCAGTGGGAAGGAAAGGCTATCTCTTCCGCACATCTCCATTAGGGCCAAGGAAACTTACCTGAAGCTCTTAGTAAACTTCCTCTTACCACATGTGATGGTTAATTTATTGTCAGTTTGAATGGGCTAAAGGATGCCCAGACAGCTGGAAGAATGTTATTTCTGAGTTTGTCTATGGGCATGTTTCTAGAAGACATTAGCATCTGAACTGGTACATTAAAGAATATCTTCTTCATCCATGGGAATGGGTATCATCCAATCCACTGAGGGCCCAAATGGAATAAAAAGGTGAAAGAAGGGTAAATTTTCTCTGTCCGTCTGAACTGGGACATCTATTTTCTCCTGCCCTCAGGCAGTGACTCTCCTGGTTCTCAGGCCTTTGGACTTGGACTGAATTACATGATCAGTTTCTCTAGTTCTCCAGTTTGCTAATTCCTATAATCTCTCCGAATCTCTCCCCCCACTAGCCTGTCTACTGCCTGATGTGTAGGGGGGGAGGGGGCATGAAACCCTCTGGGAAGCTGTAAGCCTTTTTCTTTTTCTGCTGACTTTCTTCCATATCAGCTACTTGTCTGCTCTGTCTTGCTTGTCTGTGTCTCCCGCTCTGAATTTTTCATGCGGAGTCGGCCAATTACTGGGATACTTTGCCATTATTTTTGGCTTCCCCGCTCCCAATGACTTGCCTGTATGGTGAGCTTCAATTTCCAGCCCCACTCCCTGGCCTCACAGGGAGACCCAGGGCTAGTTCCTGTTAATGCTTACCAGCTCTACCACAAAGTTTGTAAGGGCCATGACCCATTCCTGATGTGATCAATCTAGTCATTAGTCAATAATTTCTTAAGATGGAGGGGCGCCTGGGTGGCTCAGTTCGTTAAGCATCCGACTTCGGCTCAGGTCATGATCTCATAGTTCGTGGGTTTGAGCCCCGCGTCGGGCTCTGTGCTGACAGCTCAGAGCCTGGAGCCTGCTTCAGATTCTGTGTCTCCCTCTCTCTCTGACCCTTCCCTGCTCTCGCTGTTTCTCTCTCAGAAATAAATAAAACATTTAAAAAATAATAATAATAATTTCTTAAGATGGAAAATCAGAAACAGTGAAATTGTCTTCCCAGTCGAGACAAGGTTGTTACAGCATTATAGAGCTCAGAAAGACCTTACAAGATGGCTTCATTCAAACTTCTAAACTCCCGTTGTGTTCGGTTTTACCACTCTATAACCTGACTTTGTAAATGTCTTCTTTCTCTCTTGGAAGCTAGTGACTACAAACTCCAAGAGCACTGGGTCTCTGTCCCATGAATCCTCTATCCAGAAGGGTGCCTTGAACACCCTACTAAATATTGATGGACTGAATGAGCGAGAAAATGAACACACTAAGGCCAAGGTCACACAACTAGTCGACAGGTGGCAGCCGGAACTTGGGCTTTTGGGTTCCTTGGGTTTTCTGTATTACAAAAGCCAACTAGCTGTATGTGTTTTTTTACTGTACCTTCCTTCAGAACATTCTAAAGGATTTTTCAGATTTCTCCTTTCCTTTCATACTCCAGTGGGGACGAAGTACTATTTAAAAAAAAGAAAGTATTTCTCAAAGGACTCACTGAGGTAAAGAAGTCACTTCTTCACACAGCTATAGTCAATTTCAAACATTTACCCCATCTGCTTTTCAGATTACATTTCCCTATTCTCACTCCAAGGCAAAGAAAATGTTGTGAGCTTTGTCAACAGCAAAGAAAACATGGGTGACTACTTTACAGTCAGTTGGTGTACTTATCTTTCAGCATCTATTATGAATCTATTATGAATCAAGCTCTACTGGGCATATCTGTGAAAGAGCGTGTGAAGCTTTCTTGCAGAACAAAAAACAATAACACCCATATTCATGGATTGTGATATTCTGGGATAGCCATATGTGACTTTTGTGTCTTCAAAATATTTTATTCTGTTGATACATAAAAGGTTTGAAAATGTTGTTTGCCCGGCCTCTGCCATTCGGGGAGGCTAGCTGGCAGGCTGAATCTTTTTTTTTTTTTTTTTTTTTTTGCTTCATATGCAAAAGCTATATGGGAAAGCCCCTTCTTATATAACAAGTTAATCATCTCTTTGAGAGAGAAGATGTGTGCCCTGCTTTCTAGGGCCCCAAAAGGCACAGAGCTTTAACAGAAAGTGACTCTTATAAATTAGAAACCTAACAGGGTTTTGCCAGTGCCCAGTTAGTGACTGTTTTTAATGCCACCATCGAATCGAATAGGGTTCTCCTGCCTCTGGTATATCGACATAAGAATATATTGTATCACAAAGAGAAGGAAGATACGCCGTTACATTTTATTTAGTAATATCCCATCTAGACACAGAAAGGATTTAAGGCACCTTACACAGAGACTTACAGTAAAAGGAGAAAAAACGGAAAACAGGTGAAATGAATGGGGAAAGTGAAGTCAAAGGAAAGTGAGGGCGGTATATGAAATGTGTATGGAATTTGAGATGCAAAGTTTTAAATCAATGCCAGATTTTTTTCAGCTAAGAAATATGCATAGGTGTGCCTTACTTTTGGAGTACCCAACATACACAAACCCAGGCTTTAAGCCAGAGAACTTATGAAGCTAATATTTACATTTCAAAAGCATTTTTCAGTTCACCAAAGAATGCATCACTACAGGCATACGTCCTTTTACTGCATTTGGTTTTATTGTGCTTTACAGAGTGTACTTCTTTTTTAAAGATTAAAGGTTTGTGACAGCACTGCATATAGCAAGTCTTTTTGTGTCATTTTTCCAACAAGATTTGCTCACTTTGTGTCTCTGTCACATTTGGGCAATTCTCACAATATTTCTATTTCATTATTATTATTATTATATTTGTTATGGTCACCTGTGATCAGTGATCCTTGAAGTTACTATTGTTCATTGTTTTGGGGCCCCATGAACCACACCCATTCAAGATGGCAGACCTCAAACATGTTGTGTGTATTCTGACAGCTTCACTGACTGGTTGTGTCCCCATCTCCCTCCCTCTTCTGGAGCCTCCCTATTTTCTGAGACATGACAATATTGAAATGAGTCCAGTTAATAATTTTATGATGGTCTCTAAGTGTTTAAGTGGAAGAAAAAGTCACACATCTCTCACAGTAAATCAAAGGCTAGAAATGATTACACTTAGTGCAGAAGACATGTCTAAAGCCAAGATGGGTCAGGGGTGCCTCGGTGACTCAGTCAGTTAAGTGTTGGACTTAGGTCAGGTCATGACTCATGGGTTTGAGCCCCACATCGGGCTCTGTGCTGACAGCTGAGAGCCTGAAGCCTGCTTCCAATTCTGTGTCTCCCTCTCTCTCTGACCCTCCCCTGCTTGCACTCTGTCTTTCTATCTCAAAATAAACATTAAAAAACTTTTCTTATTTTTTTTCTTTACTTTTTTTTATCTTACTAGAGTTTTTTTATTTAGAACAGTTACATTTGAAGAAAAAAGAAAAAATACATATATAATAACCCCTATTTCAGTTTCTAGATAATATCAAAACATTGAGGTCAGGCTGGAGAAAGGCAGGAAGAGAGTTTTTAAAGCATAAACATATGCAGCCTTTTCGTCTTACTGGGGAAGTTACAGATGTCTATTTACTTTTTTTTAAATAGTTTATTGTCAAGTTGGTTTCCATATAACACCCAGGGCTCATCCTCACAAGTGCCCTCCTCCATGCCCATCAGCCCCTTACCCTCCCCCAACCCCATCTGCCCTCAGTTTGTTTTCGGCATTCAAGAGTCTCTCATGGTTTGTCTCCCTCCCTCTCCCCCACTATTTTTCCCCTTCTTCTCCCCCATGGTCCTCTGTTAAGTTCCTCCTAATCCTCCTATATGTGCAAACATATGGTATTTGTCCTTCTCTGCCTGACTTATTTCACTCAGCATAACACCCTCAAGTTCCATCCACGTTGCTACACATGCCCAGATTCCATTCTTTCCTATTGCCGTGTAGTATTCCATTGTATAGATAAACCACATCTTCCTGATCCATTCATCAGTGGATGGGCACTTAGGCTCTTTCCATGATTTGGCTATTGTCGAAAGTGCTGCTATGAATATCGGGGTACATGTGCCCCTGTGCATCAGCACTCCTGTATCCCTTGGGTAAATTCCTAGCAGTGCTATTGCTGGGTCATAGGGGAGTTCTATTGTTAGTTTCCTGAGGAACCTCCACACTGTAAAAAACTTTTTTTTTAATTAAAAGTAAAGCCAAGATGGGCCAAAAGCTAGGCCTCTTATGCCATACAGTTAGCCAAGTTGTGTATGCAGAGGAAAAGTTCTTAAAAGTGCTACTCCAGTGAACACATAGATGATAAGAAGGCAAAATATGCTTGTATTGCTCATATGGAGAAAGTTTGAGTGGTCTGGACAGGTCTTCAAACCAGCCACAACATTCCCTTAAGTCAAAGCCTAACCCAGAGCAAGGCCTTGGCTCCCACACCTCTATGAAAGTGGAGAGAAGTGAAGGAACTTCAGAGGGAAAGTTGAAGCCAGCAGAGGCTGATTCATGAGATTTGAGGAAGGAAGCCATCTCCATGACATAAAAGTGCAAGAGGAA